TAACCCACCAAGCAAGATCAAACCAAATCTGCAACCAATCATTCTGCCTTATTTAAATCTGATATGCAGCATCTAGTCCCTCACTACTATTACACAACAATCCATAATGCCCAATGCTTTCCTAATATAAATAAAATGGGAACACAAGTGAGATTTAGGTAGAAATGTTTCTGTCAGCCTCTGCTTTGCTGCTGCTTCGGCTGCCATTGAAATGGGGAGGGGGGGCATGGTATTTGGGAAGGGAATCGTTATGTGCTGGAGGAAGATTCTAGACGCTGACCTGACCATCTCACTGCGCATGTGGAGGAAGGGAGTTTCCCGCCAAGGTTAACTGTCCAGCATTCCGTCCTGGTGATATTTTTTGAAGATATCTCCCACCTGACAGTTGGGTGAATTATAATTGGACTATGGACAGGGGGGCAAAGGGGAGGGGATTGAATTATACATGATATTCTTTGCTTTCGCACCTAATTAACCAGATTCAACTGAGCTTTGCTACTGTTCATTTGTAATTAGTAAAAGTACACTTAATTTCAAACAGATGGAGTTGAGTCGTTTTTTCCTGATTATTAAATGAAGTCGCAGCTGACAGTTTCTTAGAAAAAGTTGGGACACTGACAACTTTTATCAGATAGCATACATCTCCCTATATTTGATATTTCCACTGCTGTCAATAACAGATATAAAATTCACATAGTCTTAGTTGTGTTTCATTGAGTCTCAACCTGCTTCCTTTTTTATAACGACTGAATCAGGAAACTCAGATATGCCTGAACCTTTTTTAATCCATATTTAACTATGTGATAGCTTCATATTTGTCCTTATTTAGTTATTTTGGTTATAACATCTCATCAATTTAGCAATGTATGCATCTCATCACTTAATACATAAATCTATTTCATAGCCTTGCTCCCTATTTTCGACAGGAGACTAAGACTACAACAGTCCTCTTCTGAAACTATTCAATAGCCCAACTCACAGCACAGTTGTAGCTTAAATATCTATATAACTCACATGCTAGCACTCATGAAGATTATAGTCTCGATAACATGCATATGTGGGAGGCTGCAATTAAAAAGGCTCAATGATGGGTATAGAATACTTGTACTTAACACTAAGCTTTGCTATGGTTACCACTTCACATGAGAGCAGCTTGCCATGGCTGTTTATATATTTTTTTAAATGATACCACAGAAGGAAAAAAGTAATACCTCAGATTAATATAATATAGGGGTGCAAGTTCTAACACTCCTTTTCCTTATCCAGCAAGGCAAGCGCTCCCTCTTTTTCTCTCACTCCCCAAAATGTGGTTTCTAAAAAATATACACATGATTAATGTCACCAGGCCACCATTTAAGAGGATGCATAAAAACAGAAAAAGGGAAGAAAGAAAAGTCAAAGTTTATTCCCAACTTCCATTGATTCCATAAGACCAAGAGCTATTAACAAGATGCCTCAATTACAGCAGGACAGCTGGTTACAGTAAATAATCCCCATAACCCTGCCTTTCTTTCACACATAAATTTACTTCCCCTGAGAAATCTAGCCACTTAAAGCCTACTGACTGAAAGGCAATATATATGAAAGGCGGTGGTTACTACAACTTTTCATATACACCAGGAAAAGCTTGTCACCCCAAGGACTAAACTATTCAGGAAAGTGTAAATAGTAGAGTGTTTCAAGTATGAATGGATACCTCCATCTGGAGAACTAATGGTCAATAATTTGCACTCAACAGTCAGATATATAATTAATTATTGTACAATAAAGCACAATTCTTTTACTTCAACTTCCATTGAGCAACAGTGAATAAATGAAAGAATAATAAGTAAGGAATATGGAAAGTAGAATTACTTAAATATTAATTAATTAAAAAATGGATATAGAAGCAGAATAAAAGCACAACCATTGCCTCCCCTATTAACATAACACACAATTCACCAGAATGCTTATTCACACAAAGTGATTCAAGCAATTAATAGAAGAATGAAGTTCATGGGTAAATTAATAACTACAAAAATATGTTTCATTAGATGTCAACGGCTATCATGAAAGAATTTCAAAGCTCTCTTCTTTCTCAAACATTTCCTACAAATAAATAAACAAAAAGAAAAATCTGATATAGGCTCCAAATCCCATCTGCAATATAGTATCTGGAAAGGAAGCCAGATTGGAAAATTGGAAAATTATATCTCCACCAATCTATTGAACAAGATCAGGAAATGAAGCTAATAAAAATCATGCTATAAAGCCTTGCTTTTGATTAAGCAATCTGCCTTTCATACAGCTTGATATTGGAATATGGTGCATGGATGTGATTGACAACATTCACACAATGATACCGTATCATCACATATATTTCATCATTCCTCCCCCCCCCTCCCCCGCATTCAACCCCATATGGACATCTATGTTTTTCTAGCAGAATGAACACCTGGACATTTCCAGGATCTAGTTTCTTCAACTAAAATCCTGTCCTCGGTAATTTGATTTACATTTTTTTATCAGCCCCAACCAAAATATGATCATTCTACAAGTAAGCATCTTTATTTTTGATTGATCAGACCAAGGCAAATATTGTCAAGTTTGCTATTGCTAAAGGCTTAAATAAGGATAAAAAAACATAAATAATACAGATTTGATAAAGTGAGAGAATCAGCCCCAAGAAGTCAATTCTCTCTTAAAGTAATTTGGCGTTACTTCTCTGAATACTCCTGGTGACAAGTAAGAACACAACCATTTATTGTTTGTTTGTTTATGTCCTGTCTTTATTATTTTTACAAATCATTCAAAGTGGCAAAAAACATCCAACATAACTTCCTTCATCTATTTTCCCCACAACAACATCCCTATGAGGTGAGTTGGCCTGAGAAAGAGTGACTTTCAAAACAGCTAAAACAGACTGAATGAAATGGGCTGCCTTTGCAAAAGGCGTTTTCCTATTTTCTGCTCTGGATTGGCAGAAATTTGGGCTGACTATCAAACCCAGAATGAAAAACATGGATGTATGCATCTAGATATGATGCATGTATTTACATGTTAGTTTGTAACATATATACAACATACTATATATGCTTCTCCTCAAACAACACTCCCTTCCTGTATTGAGAAATTTAATAGCGCAGAGACAGCACTAAAAAACAAACATGAGGAGTTATACTTCATATATTCCTAAGAAATTGAAATCCTGTCTAGGGAGGAACAAAACTGCCTACAGATTACTATGATATTCAGGGTTTAAGAGACAGATATTCCATTTTTAATTGGATGGAAACAGTTCTACTTTTCCATTTATCATCCTATTGCTCATATTAGGCATCTTAGAAATATTATTTTTCAGTAGTCATTCTTTCTCTCCTCTTCCAATGCGTTTCTTTCTTCCTTAGAAGATCCTCCTCAATTACCATAATCTTAAAACACAATGGAAATCTAATTAGTGGTAAGGAAAACACCTTTCGTCTATTGAAGTCTTCACATGTTGCATCATTTACAAGCCAGTTCCTATATCACCTCATGACCAGACAGATATTTGAAAGAACACATTTGCCCTACTTGTCTGATAAGAGATTTGCTGTTGCATACACAACTCTCTCTTTCTATCTGACAAAACAAGTGAGTCACCAGAAGGAAAATTATTCTATGACTTTTTATAATTGCTCCAAATCGATGTTTAACCTAAATTCTGAAGCAGAAATGTGATCTTAATCTGAAGAAAAATATTTGACAGAGTGTAGAATGCAGTAAAGAAAAGGAAAAGAAAGGGGAGGACACTCTTTTTCGGTTCATTTAAAACTTATAACAGTCTGCCACTTTTATGTAGGAAGGAATGGAAGAGATGCTGACAACTGGCAACTTATTAATCATTGTATCAACACAAAAATCCTGTTTGATGAAGCTACAGTCATGGTACAGAAGATAAACAGCCAAATTTACCCCAGGCAAAAGCAAATGTACATTTACTGCTCTAGCTTGTAGTATATTAAATTTGCATTGAATGATTAATCATCAGGGGATAGATCCTTAAAGTTACACAGCTTCACTATTTCATGTACAGAATTGCCAACAGACAATTGTCCTTTTCATGTAGTTGGCCTTTTCATGTAGTTTCTGTTAATTATTCATTAGGGATAACGCTCTTGATTATACTTGTTACAGCATTTGAGCACATGAAAGAAATAAGATTTAAGTAGCAGGAGAACTCTTAATACTCAAAAAAAGATAAAAGATAGTAGAGTAAAACTATCTCATATTAAATGCATTCATATAGAAAAAATAAAGCTAGAGTCTATAAAAGATAAAGGTCATAAACTAGTGATATTAGCAAAACCACACAAAATTTTAAACCATTATGACTGAATTCACATATCATACTAAATTTAAAACAAATATAGACATTTAGGCTGCTGTGAATCCCACTGAATCAATCAATCAACCAATCAAATAGTTAAAGTGAATGTTAACCATATCAACTTGATATTCATCTCTGAGACTGTCAGCATAATTTGTGACCATTCAAAAAAACTGAAGAATTAAAGAAAAACATTTATCAAATGATACTTATATTAAAATATTATTTCAAAATAGATTACTTGCAAATAGTTAAACATTACTTTTAAATGTTAAGACCTCACAACAAATATAAAAACATTAGAGGATTCTGGGGGGCCAGCAAGCTCATCTAATACAGCTTTCTGTGTCACAAGTGGTCAATTTCAAATAGGAAAGAAAGTCAAAACTGCTCTTTATTTTCCTGCATGGATTTTTTAAAAATATCATATGGCTATTATTATTAATCTTTTATGAATTTGAAATTGTTTAAATTGATGAACATCATCATGTATGACAGTATTGAATGCATGGCTTATCTCTCTACTGCATAAATATGCATATTCTTTTATACTGATTATTGATTCTCCAGGTTTTCCATCATCATTAGCCACATCATTATTGTTATCATCTTTTTTAAAATCACATGAATTGATTCAATACTAAAGACTTACAATACAAGTACATGTGATGCATTTGTTCCCATCAGGATGAAATTTCCCACCTTCAGAGAAATGTCTACCTTCAAGTGTGCAACCTGGGGGAAAACAAATATTTTATACTTTTATGTAAAATAATGTATTGCACACCTATATACGGTAGGTAGAGATGTAATATGTGTGTATTTCACACGAGAAAATGTTATCAATTAATTAAAATAGGCAATATTGGTATAGATTGATTGATATTTTAAATGTAATGCAATATCAGGTGCTCGGTGACAATCATGCAAAATATTTTTCACAAACAATGGATGAGAAGGGTACTATGTCTGCTATTTTTGAGAAGCTGAGCACTGAGGCAATGTGTAATGAGAATTTTTAAACCAAAGCAAGAAATTCATTCAGCCACAATATTTATTTTGCTCTCCAACAAAAGCAACTGGATAAAGGTTTTGGTAAATTTCCCACAGCAGAAGAGATCCCCCCCCCCAAGAATTCAATTAGTTTTTAGTATCTTTAGTTTTGTCAAAACTAAAGCAGCATCTTTAATTTTGTCTATCCATTTCAAAAGGGCTGTCAACAGTCAGAAGACAACAAAGATGAGAAAGGGTTTGTAGAGGGAATATAGGCAAATGATATGGAAGATAAGAAAGCATCATGCTGCAACAACACAAAGAGTACCAGCAAAATCAATGTAGCAAGTGAATGACATTCAGGGAATACCAGCCAGAAAGAAAACAGAAATGAAGAGAAGGACATGGAATAGACCCAAAAATATCAACTTTTCTTCAGTATGAGTCTTTTTCATTGGTCACACACAAATAGACTAAATAATGCAGACACCATAGTATCAGAACAGAGTAAAGACAATGATTATAGGGGTGAGAAATGGAAACTGAAAAAGTCTGAAGTGCAACAAGCAGTACAAGCAAAATTATCTTGGTCAAACAAATATAGCTATACATCTTAAATATTAAAAGAAAAAAATCAACTTTCCTGTTTTTCAGGCATACAAGCTAATCTCTTTTACTTCTTACCTGGACATATGGGGCAACATATCCCTGGTTCCTTGTAAGGATTTGTACAATGAACAATACACTGAATCTCAGACTCTGTTATCACTCCTTCCTGCAAAATAACATAAGAAGGTCCAATTATTATCCACGAAAAATCAAAAGTATATCAACATCTACACCACCCCCCCACACACACAGATCATTCATCCATACCTTTCACATTCTTCTTATCTCAATCTAAACAACATCACACAGACAGATATTTGACAGAAGCTATGTAAGATTTAATGGATTAAAAAAATAAAACATAGAATTAAATAAAACAGAATTATTTAATAAGATTAAAACGGAAGGTAAAGTGCCTCCATCTTGGAAGACAGCTTTTATATCTCTGATATCCAAAGAAGATCAAGATATTACTCAACCAAAAAACTATAGACCTATCTCATTACTTAATGTAGATTATAAAATTTTTACTAAAATACTAGCAAATAGGTTAATGCTGGTTATTCAACAATTGATACACGCTGACCAAACAGGTTTTATTCAAGGTAGACAAATGAAAAGTAATGTTAGATTAGTTATTAATGCATTGGAATACTTTGGAAAGAACAATCAAATTCCTGCTGCGTTCATATTTTTTGATGCTGAGAAAGCCTTTGATCGAGTTAATTGGCAACTTCTGCTGAAGATATTGCAAAAAATGCAGATAGATCAAAGTTTTTTACAATC